CCAGCCACGCAGCCTCGACCTGCTGGGCTCCGGCGATCCTTTCCGCCTCAGCCTTTCAAGTAGCTGGAACTATAGGCGTGGACTACCACGCCCAGCTAATTTTTGATTTATTGTAGAGATGAGGTCTCGCCAAGTTGCCCGAGAGGGTCTCGAACCTGCAGGCTCAGACAATCCACTCACCTCAGCCTCCCAAAGCGCAGGATTACAAGCTGAGCCACCAAGCCTGGCTCAAGTCAGTCTTGAACTTCTAACTTCAAGCAATCCCGCCACCTCAACCTCTCAAATCGCTGAGATTACAGGCATGAGCCACCATGCCCAGCCTATCAACCAACTTTAAGGCTGATTCTGCCTTTGGATTTCCTTTGAGCTATGTGAGCCAATAAATGTCCTTATCATTTAAGCCAGTTTAAGTTGGGTTTCCATTACTTGCAACCTAAAACGACCTCACTATTAGACTTTTAAAACCCAATCTCATAAGTATGTTGGGAAGAATAAATTTAATAGTTCATCTGAAGTACTTAGCCTAATGACTGGATCATTGAGTGTTCAGTAAATGGTCACTGGTTATCTAACCACTCTCTTATATGTTATTTGCCATAGACTTCCTATGGACATTCTGTGGATTAGCCTAGTGCATCAAATCAGAAAGAGAGGCAGCCCAATAGTCAGGTAGTTAAGACCAGAAAGCTGATGGCACAAGTACCAAGATCCTAGAGACAGAAGAAGGTCAAAACCCAAAGAGAAGCCTGGTTAGACAGGGCTGGGACCCGATACCTTAAGGTGGAGTGGGAATGGGTCAGAGTGGATATCCTGGTCACCAGGCTCCTGTCTGGCAATTCCCCTCCTGTCCCAATGGGCCCAGGCTGGGGCACTAAGTGGAAGAGCCTCTGATCCAGCATGTGAGTGGCAGATCAGAGGCTAATCATCTAGTTAAGAACTGAAACCTTGCTCTTAGTCCAACGCCCTGTCCACTACACCAAATTCAATTGCGTTCCATAGACACCCATTTTTATTACACTCAGGAGACTCCTCCTAAATCACCTATAACCATGGAATGCAAGAGGCAAAGTACCCACTTCCCACTACAAAGTAAGTTCAATGGTGATCTTGGAGTAGCGGGGGAAGCACTGGGACTTGACAGTCTACCTGTGTATTCCTCTAATGGTGGAAGTAGTGACAAAGCATGTAAATGTCTCTTTTAAAATGTCAAGGAGTCTCTTTTCCTCCCTGACTGCTTGAGGATCTTTAGCCATCATGAACGACACAGTAACTATTCAGACCAGAAAATTCATGACCAACCGTCTGCTTCCACAGAAACAAATGGTCATCGATGTCCTTCACTCCAGGAAGGCAACAGTACCTAAGACAGAAATTCGGGGAAAACTAGCCAAAACGTCCAAGACAACACCAGATGTCATCTTTGTATTTGGATTCAGAACTCATTTTGGTGGTGGCAAGACAACTGGCTTTGGCATGATTTATGATTCCTTCGATTATGCAAAGAAAAATGAACCCAAACATAGACCTGCAAGACATGGCCTGTATGAGAAGAAAAAGACCTCAAGGAAGCAGCGAAAGGAACGCAAGAACAGAGTGAAGAAAGTCAGGGGGACTGCAAAAGCCAATGTTGGTGCTGCCAAAAAGTGAGCTGGAGATTGGATAACAGGCAAAGGACTAAAGATGATGCAGTGATGGTATCTGTGGCCATTGTTTGGATTTTTCATGACCAGCTTAATAAACCAAAAACTTTTAAAAAATAAAAATAAATAAAATGTCAAGGAAAAAGGTCCATTTGTTTTATAAGCATCCAGGCGTCCCTGCCCCTGCCCTTTCTAATCAGGAAAAGTGACTGAGTGATAAGTGATAGATTGATGAAGAGCTAACCCACACATACGCGCGCGCGCGCGCGCGCACACACACACACACACACACACACACACACACACACACACACACACACACACACTCTCACAGGTTTTCTGGACCAGCCCAAAGTCCAGGCAGCATTTCTAGATGAGGCCCTTTGGGAGTAATAAGCCTTCCCAATCCTTCACCTCCAGACATGCTCACTCGCCTTCCTGGAGATCCAGATCACTCCAGGGCTGGTGTGCAAAACGCCAGCTCAGACAGACCATGTTCTGAACTACCCAGCAACGCACTTGGCAGGGGAGGATGATCCTGCTGCACTCAGAAGACTTAGGAGGAAACACATTCATTCCTCCTTGCACTCCCCCTTCTGTTGCCCAGGTTCCTGGGTACACTTTTTTTGAGTCGGAGTCTCACTCTGTCACCCAGGCTGGAGTGTAGTGGCATGCTCACGGCCACAGCAGGCTTGACCTGCTGGGCTCAGGCAATCCTTCTGCCTCAGCCTTCCAAGTAGCTGGAACTACAGGTGTGCACCACCACACCCAGCTAATTTTTTAATTTATTGTAGAGACAAGGTCTCGCTAATTTGTCCAGGCTGGTCTCGAATCTCCGAACTCAGGCAATCCTCTTACCTCCACCTCCCAAAGTGGTAGGATTACAGGTGTGAGCCACCATGCCCAGCAGTAGCCCTGTTCACTTGGTGATATTAGAAGGCAGGTCATCTCATCTCTGTCCTGGGCCTCCTCTCCTGATGGGACATTTTCCCACCACTCCACTGCCACCAACGCAACCTAGTGCTTGGTATTTCCTAACCTCCCCCATCCTCTCAGTTTTTCATGCTCTGATTTCTGGAAAGAACTAAATGTATTCAATCCCACAGAGCTGCAGTGGTAAATCAGAGGGAAAGCAGAGAGGACAAATTGTGTGTCTTGGTACTGCATGTCTCCAGGGGAAAAAATGCAGCTAGACCCAGTCACCAATCACAGTAAAAAATTGTAATGGGAATCATGCAAGTCTCCCGACATACTAAGGTGTCTTAATTTCCACCAGTAAGACTTAACCCAGACCTTGGAGGCATTTTAATCTGTCCGGTCACCCTGGTGACAGGAAGGCTCACTAGAAGGGTCACACACTAAGCTGTCTAGCTCATACCATACAAGCCTTAAGTAATAATACTAGAGTCTAGGGTTCTTGTGAAGATTAACTGAGATAACACATGAAAAGAAAAGTCAAACCGGGCTCGGTGGCTCAGCCTGTAATCCCGCTCCTTGGGAGGCTGAGGTGAGTGAATTGCCTGAGCCCACGGGTTCCAGACCCGCCTGGGCAACTTGGCAAAACCTCATCTCTACAATAAATCGAAAAATCAGCCAGGCATGGTAGCGTGCACCTGTAGTTCCGGCTACTCGGAAGGCTGAGGTGGAAGGATCGCCGGAGCCCAGCAGGTCGAGGCTGCGGTGGTCGGGAGCGGCCACTGCACTCCAGTCTGGGCGACAGA